GTGTAGGTCTGCACCCAGGATCAGAACCAGCAAACCACAGGCTGAAGAAGCAGAGCACGCGAACTTAACCACTTGGCCACGGGGCCAGCCCTGTAATGAATTTTTATATGTAGGCCATCATAACCATAAAAGAAATACCCATCATTTCCTAGTGGTACAAAAATAAAGGTGGCCTTCTCTTTCCAGACCCACTTTAATCCTGCCTCACCACCAGCTCAGAAGGGACAAAACAGTGGAGACTGGCGTCCTGCAGCGTGCACCCACTGCTGCTGTGGGTCTGTCCCCACCATGCACAGCTCCCGTCCAGGAGACCGTCTGAGCCATAATGGAGATTGGCGAGAGCGTGACGCATCAGCAAACTCCAGCCCTAGGAGCAGAACAGCAAGTCAAACCTCAGGGCTGCAGTGGAAGGCGAGACACATCCTCCCAGAGCACGACTATCATCACACAACCTCAATTTGATGGTTGGGATGAGCAAAGGGACTCGCCCCTGTCCATGACAGTTAACCACAATCTGGATCAGCACCAATGCAGAACAGAGAGTGAAGGGATGAAAGGAAATCAAACATCCGCAGAAAACGGAGAAAATCCACGCTGGCAAGTTTCTGAGTTCCCTAAAGTGAAGCTACAATCCCACTCTCATTTCCTGTTCCCAAACCCCATCACCCCTTAACCCCTTAACCCCCGTTAACCCAATCCAACTCCTTCAAGGGGGGCTGTCAGCCTAACTGCCCAGATAATCAGGCAAGAGACGCCGAGTTCCCACCCACCAGAGTCCCCTAGAAACATCCCAACCCCGACAGAAGCAGAGTGCCATGGTGGGCTGGGGTCAGGTGGGCAGGACCACGCACTGCTCCCTGCTCAGGTCATCTTCCAGGTATGCAATGTGTACCCTGAGGGGCGGTCCTGAGGTTCAAGTGCCAGAGCGGACTGATACTGTTTATATTAAGGGAGGAAACAATGACCAAGAGTTTTCGGACAAGGCTAGTAACTGATTGATGAGTGTATGGAAAGCCCCCAAATTAAAATCCAATTATACTAAATGAATCCAAATGACATAGGAGAGGGGAGGCACTGACATTCCACAAGTGCAGCCTCCGAAGTTACCCCTCATCACCCTACTTGGATTCCCCACCTGGAACAGTGCGGTTGAGCTGTTCGCCGTGGGAAAGCTCACCTGCATCTTTCTCCTCCTCTCCGTATCTCCGCTCAACTCTTGTCATCATCGTCTCACCTCCTGCCACCTAACTCTCCTCCGAGGAATCCACCACCCACATGGGCCCTAAATGTGCCCAGAAGCCAACTCCTCACCTTACCTTCCATTTCTGTGCCAAGTCCTAGTACATGTGAAGTCAAGTAAAAACCGCTGTGTGAGAGTAAAGGTATAAGAGATAGACAGAGGCCCTTAAAGAGACTAAGGGTGAGGCTCACAGACCTTCTCTTTGAACAACTGGGCCTCTAGAAGCTTCCAGGCACTGTCCCTCGCCCTGCAGGAGCCCAAGGTAGTAGAGAAGGGCTTATCTCAAAGAGATTTGAGGGATGGTTTTTGTCTGATGGAGTGAACACCAATGAGATTCACAGAAGGCCCACGAAGTTTTCAAGAAAACCATATCAGTAGAAATACTGCCAGCTTGCACTGAAAGGGTGAGAGGCAGTGCAAACTGAAAACTAGGCACTGAATCCCAAAAATTCTACTGGCAGGAAGCAGGCTGAGAAAACGACTCAACTGCAAACACAGGCTATCTTCGATGAAAAGCAAAAGATGACTCAGAGAGAGGAATCAGGAGCCCAGGAGGCGGAGAGAGGACCACTACCCTCAATCTCGAGACCTAACCAAGGAACTTCCAACATCGGACAGGCTAGATTTCAGAACTGCTATACACCTGCGACTCCTTTATGCCTCCCATTTTCCCTCATTTGGGGCAGGAGTGTCTACAGTGGATATCCTATGTCTGTCCCAACATGGCATTTTTGGTGGAGGTGGAGGAGCTGACAGCGGGTCTCTTTAATTCCGATCTACAGATGGAGAAGAAGTGCACTCCAGGAGCTATACTCAAGGAGCTTCAACGCGGAGCCTCATCCACACCTGGAGCTGATTTACATGATGGGATTCTGGACTTTGATGCTGATGCTGTCATGGCAGGAACTTGGGGGGAGTGTGCTTGGTATGTGGGAGGGACATGGATCACGGGGGCCAGGGGCTGGACAGTGATAGGCAGCTTCTACGAGGGCCCCAGTGATCTTGCCTTCTAGTCAGCCGCCTGTGGCAGTTCCCTCCCCTTGGGTGTGGCCTGGACCTACTGCCTTACTTCTAACAAAGAGAAGATGGCAAAAGTGATGAGATGTCACTTCCAAGATAGGTTACAAAAACACTCTGGCTTTCATCTTGCTCACCCTCTGCCTCACTCGCTCTGAGGGAAGTCAGCTGCCAGGCTGTGAGCTGCCCTAAGAAACAGTCCACATGGCAAGGAACGATGTCTCTGGCCAACAGCCAGCAAGGTCAGGAGGCCTGCCAACAGGCACATTAGTGACCTTGGAAGCCGATCTTCTGAGGCCACCAACCACCACGTGAGGAAGCGGATCCCCACCCACTGCAGCCCTGGCTGATACCTTGATCACAACCTCATGTGAGACCCTGGACAGAGGCCCAGCTAAGCCTCACCCCAATTCCTGACCACAGAGACTGGGAGATAACACCCACTCTTAGAAGGGAGCTGCTGCATTTAGGGAGCAGGCTGTTACACAATAGGAGATAACTAATGTACCACATAATGCGAATATAAATGTTATCATTTGATGTGTTACCACTGGTGCTATCAACACATACAAAACAGCACTGTATTTATTTCTAGGCAGCAATGCATGATTAAGCATTTTTTTAAGTGTTCCCTCAATTTAATCTGTGATGAGGTGATTAAGGAAACCATCCTGCATACACCAGAGATAAACTGACTACAGAATATAAAAAACTGGCTAAGAAAAATGACTACCATTGGACGACTACCTAGTCCAGCTTGACCTCACAAGCTGAAGAGAACAATTCCCCTTCACAACCGAGCCCACGACACGGCCCAGCACCTCGCCCACGAGCACGACCAAAGACAGGTTAGACTCAAAGCCAGGGCTGACGGACCTCAGTCTGGGCTCCTCACCTCACCCCGCCTGCTCCCTTTTCACTATTAGCATGTGAGCAAACGCCTGTGTAGAAACTGACCCCCCTTGAAGCCTTTCTGCTAACAAAAATTATTTACCAGGTTTTCAGAGTCTCTCAATTCCTCGGTAGCTTCAACTCCCATATTTGAACATTAATCTAAGCTTAGGAAGCAGAACAGCAGCTACCAAAATTATTAGTATGCACGATTGTTGAATAACTTACACTAAGCTAAACAGACGAGCACAGTACATAAACTGTCCCCAGCCAGCGTTTTGTTACTATGCAGAGTTTTGCGTGAGTATTTTCAAATGTCAGTCCTTGAGGTTTAACACCTCAAGCCCACAGAAACCAAGAGGCCAGGCCGCAGGGACGTGTATCCGATGTCTCAGTTCTGGTCCCCAGGAGCACGCTCCCTTCTGCCTTTCCAGTCAGTCTCCATCAGGAAGAGCCAGTTCATTGCTAAGCAGCTACACGACAATTAGGAATGGAGACAAGAATTGACTCGAACACTAAAGCAGCTCTTGGAATTAGGAAATATAGCAAATATAAATAATCAGGAAAGAGGAGAGAGAAATAAGAAAAGGAGAGAAGAAATTAAACACGGATAACTTTAAGAACGTTTCATTTGTGTCAACACATCAGAAGAATGTATACACAATTATTACTTACAGTCTAATAATGTTAAAAGGAAACAGAATTCCAAAAATAATATAAAGTTGAGGAAATAACAGTTATGCTAATGTCATATTCAGCACATAAAGTTTAAAACCCTAGCTTTAAACTCATCTGGCTCCCTCTTCCTTCAAGAGAACACATCACAAATGCATTTTTGCAGCACTAAGCTATCACACTCGGGCAGGGAGGCGCCAGGCCCCCGGAGGACAGACGCACTAGCTCCCCTAGGCCTCTCCCGCCCCCATGGACAGCTCAGGCTGCAGAGCGGGGAGAGGGGCTGTCCCAAAGGAAGGGAGACCTGTGGACCCCCATGAGCACCCACAGCCCTCAGCACAGAAGGGCCTAGGGGAACAGGATACCTGCGCCGCTGCCAGAACATTTTTTATCGCTCGTTCCCAGAGTCCCTGCCTACTGGAGAAGGCCTGACACTAAGCAGCATCCCTAACCTAGTACTTTCCCTTTTTTTAATGCACGCAGAAGAAAATCTAGATTTAGCAGAAAAGATATTAAATTACAAAAGTTCATTTTACTAGTTCAAAAATATTAATATATTGCATCTTTCTGAGTGATTCTAATCCATCATAATGCAAAGTTTACATTAAGCAAAATCCATAGGATAACCAATGAAGAGAAACGTGCAAAAGCCCTCTCATGTGAAAGAAGGGAAAATGTAGACCGACAATTAGAAAAGCACATTATTTAATATTAGCTGGGTTCACACAGTGCTCCGAGGACACAGACCACCTTCAGCCCCAGAACTCAACAGACACCTATGTTGTAAATCAGGCACCCATTCCAGAAAACCGTCTCCCAACCAGACCCCGGGCCCAGTCACCGGCCTGAGCCAGGGGCTCTCTCCTGCCACTCTGCGTTACAGTCAACGCCCCTCTGCAATTTCAGTTACCCAGTCAACTCTGGCACAAAAATGTTAGATGAAAAGTTCCAGAAAGAAGCAATTCCTAAGTTTTCAATCGTGCATGGTTCTGAGTAGCATGATGAAATCCTGCGCCGGCCCCTCCAGGACGTGAACCATCCCCTCGTCCAGCAGATCCCCGCCGTACGTGCTACCCGCCCATTAGCCACTTAGTAGCCGTCTCAGTTAGCAGAGCATTGTCGCTGTAACTCAGTGCTTGTGTTCAAGTCACCCTTGTTTTGCTTAACAACGACCCTAGCGCTCGCTTCGGCAGCACATGTACTAAAACTGGAACGATACAGAGAAGATTAGCAGGCCCCTGCGCAAGGATGACACGCAAATTCAAATTCGTGGTGTTCCATATTTTTAAATTACACCTTGTTACAAACCATTACGATCTCAATAAAATTACTTTAACAAAATACTAACGACCCTAAAGCAGGAGAGCAGCGATGCTGCAATTCGGACACGCCAAAGGGAAGCAGGAAGTGCTGCTTTCAAGTGAAAAGGTGCAAGTGCTCTACTTAATAAGAAAAAAAAATTATATGCCAAGGTTGCTCGGATCTATAGCAACTTCTATTACAGTGTATTGTTATAATCGTTCTATTTCATTATTAGTTATTGTTGTTAACCTTTTACGGTGCCTAGCTTATAAATGAAACTTTATCATAGGTATGTACGTATAGGAAAAAACATAGTCTCTATAGGGTTCGATACCATCTGTGTTTTCAGGCATCACTGATGGTCGGAACATATCGCCCACGGATAAAGGGGGACTTACATACCCTCCAGTGTGCTAGGCTTAACAAAGATACAGAGGTAGGTGCATTTCGAAGTAACTTTTTATTCACATTAAGAACACTTTCTACACACAAAGGAATTTAAGGTCTCAATTAAGGAAAGAAGCAGCTCGGCAGAAGGAAGGCAGCCAGACATCCAGGTGGGAGACGGCGGTGATCGCAGCAAAGATAGGGGGCAAAAGACAGGGTGAGGAGGAGAGCCTGGCTGCGGGGCCTGCCAGCACCCTGCTGTCACTGTCACCGGGTAGGCAAGAGGTCCAGCGCTCAGCTCAGTCCTCCTCCTGCTCACATCGCGCATCCAGCTGCACTACCAAATGCCAACTCCTTTTCCCAGCACATCACCCCGCTCAAACATGCGAGGCTCCCCCGCTTCTCACAGGATCCACCCTTAAGCCCCCAGCCTGCCCTCCAAAGCCTCCCTCAGCGGGTCCCAGCCTAAACCTCGACATCCACTTCAGGCAGATCCATCCTCACTACCCCACAACTCTGTTCACTCATCCATTTGTTCATTCATTCACTCACTCAATAATTGTCAAGTGGCTTCCACAGCAGCACCAGGTAAACAATTACAAACAGGAGACTGGTGATGGCCCTGACTTTCAAGGGCTAGCTGCCTCTGGGAGACAAGACAGCTCAACAGGCCAATACCACCACACACGGAAGGTGGGCAGACACACAGGAGGGCACCCACAGCCCTGACTCCATTTGAGAAATTACTCTCCCATGAAGTACCCTCTCCCCCTCCCTCCACTGCTCCTTAGCTCAGCTCAGACCCCACCTTGTCTCTGAGAACCCCCAACTCCTCCAATCCTCACCAACCCCCCAACTACCTCATAGACCAGTGGGCCCCACTCTCTGGCTGTGTCTGCTGTTCACTCACGATCCCCTCACTTCTCACACCTAGGGACATCACCACACAGCCTTGTCTGAGACAGCGCTGCGGGCACACACACAGGCTCTGGGTACACATACTCTGAATGCACACGCGGGCTGTGGCTATACACACTGAGTACACGTGCAGGCTGTGGGTACACACACAGATGTCGGTACACATGTGGGCATCAGGACAGGAGACAGGTCTGAGGGGAAGTAGTGAGGGGCAGGAAGAGCCCCGTCTGTGAGCAGGGAAGTGGAGCCTGGCAGCATGAGAAGCTGGGAGGAACCATCAGCTCAGGGTCCACCTGCCACAAAGGTAAGATGCACAGAGGCTGTGAACTCCAGAAATCCTAACTGTGCGGAAGCACCACAGCAATCAGAAGCTCAGACAAGGGCCAGGAACCGTGCCCCACCTAGCCCCTCCCCACCAGGAAGGAGCCCAAGGGGGCTCAAAGAGCAGGTGCCAACCTACCCCGCAGTCAGCGGGCAGCCCTGACCCACAAGCTCACGGCTTGCCCCAGGAGCTTCAGGAAAGGAAACAGGACAAGCTGAAGCTACAACCTTTCAGGATCTACGGTTGCTGGGACCGCGGGGCTATTTCTGATTCCAGAAACAAATTCTAGCTCAATAATCTTGAAATACTGTAGGTTAAACCTTCTCAATTTTCCCTCCCCATTATTATTTGACTTCCCATTTTTATCTCAATTTGATATTTATTTTTGTTTGTGGTTTTTAAACCTGGGCAAAGGGGGACTATAAATAGAGTTGCCAGATTTAGCAAATAAAAATACAGTTAAATTTGAATTTCAGATAAAAGATGAAGAACTGTTTAGTATACATATGACCCAAATATTGCACAGCACATTTTATCTGACAAATCCAGAAGGGACAGACGAGGCTACATTGCCTGCAGGGCCATGCTGTAGTACTCAGGGCCCCTGACTCAGTATCCCTGAGCCCCTCCTTGCTGGAGCCTGGCTGTCTCCCGTCATCCCCGCCTGGAATGTCACCTCCACTCCCACCACCCCTCCTGATCCCTCACAGCCAACCCCTCACAGCCAGCTTCCTTGGGTGAAGCTGACAGGGGCTGGCCAAGGATAGCAGGGGGCAGGCCAAGCCCTGTGTCCTGCTGCCCTGCCTGACCCTGGCCTCATTCCATCCCCTGCCCTAGCCTGCGTCCTCGCCGCACCTCCAAACGCCCTGGCAAGACTGAGGACAATTTGCCTCATCAACAAATGGGTCTAATGTCAGGCCTCCTCCATGAGATTCCACTACCCACATCCGAACTTGGTCACTCCCTATAGGATTCGGGGGGAACAGCAGCAGAGTGCTGCACTGTCCGTCTCGTCTTTTCACTGGGCCTGAAGGCAGTCTTTCTGCTCTCCATGTCTTTCCAGTTACTCTCAAGAAGATAAGAGAATCTGCAAAAGCACAAAGTCCTGGGTGTCCTCTTCCTGTGCACAGGGTGGCTGGGGACAGACCCCTTTTGGAAGTAACAAAGGCAGGGTGGCCAGAGGAGGTCTTGTGAGCGGGAGCCCCGTCCCCCCTCATGACCCCACATGGCTCCTCACCTCCCACATCCAGGCAGGGTGTGGTAGGCCGAACAGTGGCCCCAAAGACACCAGGTCCTAATCCCCAACACCTGGAAATGCGACCTTATTTTTAAAAAGAGTCTTTGCAGACAGAATTAAGCTAAGGATTTTCAGATGAGGAGATGATCCTGGATTATTCAGGTGGGCCCTAAATGCAATCACAAGGGTCCTGCTAAGAGGGAAGGTCAGACACCGGGAGAAGGCCACCTGAAGACAGAGGCAGAGATGAAAGCAATGCGGCCACAAGCCCGTGATTGCTGGCAGCCACCAGGAGCTGGAAGAGGCAGGAAGGAGTCACCCCTAGAGCCTCCAGGAGGAGCCCAGCCCCACCTATACCTTGACTTGGACTCTGGCCTCCAGAACTGGGAGAGAACAAATTTCTGCTGTTTTCAGCCACCCAGCTTGTGGCGCTTTGTTACAACAGCCACAGCAACTGACACAGAGGGGGGCCCAGGGAACCCTCCTCAAAAGCTACCAAAAGGCAGTCATCTGCATCTTTGCCTATCAGCCCGCACGTGGAGCCCTATGCCTAGTAAACTTGTACCAGGCCCAGGGATCACCCACCTCTGGGGAGTTTAAAGACGAACAACCCCCAGGCCTGATCCCTCAGTGGCTCCCAGCAGAGGAAGACGATGAAGAAGGCACAACCTCTACTGCCACCATGCTCTTCAAATTCCTTTACATATCCAAAAAAGGCATCTGTTCAGGCTAACACTTAGAAGAGCCAGCCCTGGGCTGTATTTTATCCAGGATTTGTCAAGGAAAAGCTTTCTACTAGGCTAGAGTGGCTCATTCCCCAACTACTTGATTCTCTAGACGACAAACAAGTAAACCCCAAGATCAATGCCTGGCTACTAAGCAAAGTGCCAGGAGGCCTTCAGTGAAGCGGCAAAACTCACGCACTCTCCCATGCTGCTAAATCAAGTTCCAACCAAGCACAAAATATAAAAACCGAGCATTTGAAGGCACTGGAGAGCTATGAAAAGCAGGCAGGAAATGAGGGGAGTTGTCCCCTAAAAGAAGAGGGGTGCACACTAAGATGTGTGTCCACACAAATGCGTGGAGCTCAGGTGGAAAGTCTCAGGCCCCTGAGCTTCCAGTCAGAGTGGAGTCTGGGCACAGAAGGCTGGCTGGAAAGTGAGGGGGACATCTCAGCGTCTCAGAAAGAAGGTGGCTGGGGAGAGGGGAAGCCCTGGGATCCGCTCATAAACTGCCCAGGCCCTGGGCCAGCCCTTCAACTGTCCATGCACAAGGACACTCCAAAGAGCAGAGGAGGCAGCTGGTAGGCCGAGCACACCAAGCAGAGACTACAGCAGAGATGTGTGCAGTCTGAGCCCAGACAGACTGACTTCAAGAACAAAGACCAACACTCTTCAGAAAAAAAGAATCACTACAATGGCTCATCCACAATGTTCAGTACAGTCAAACACTGCTAGATGTTCAAAAAAACAGGAAGGTGTGACCCACAGTCAAGAGACAAAGGAGTCAAGAGAAACTGATCCTGAGATAAGCCAGGTGTTGAAATTAGCAGATAAGAACTTTAAGACAGCTAATAGAGTATGTTCAAGGATTTAATGGAAAATATGGTAACAATAAACAGATGACATATCTCAGTAGAGAAAGGGAACTCTAAAAAAGAGGCAACTGGAAATTCCAGAAACAAAAACTACAGTAACTAAAATTTGAAAATTCACCAAATGAAGTTAATAGTACACTGGAGACAGAAGAAAGGATGAGGTAACTTGAAGACAGAAATTATCTAATACGAAAAATGACAAAAACTATTTTTAAAATGGACAGAGCCTGAGCGCCCTGTAGGACAATATCAAACATCAACCATAAATGTAATTCAAGTCCCAAAATAAGAAGACAACAAACGGGGCAGAAAAAATATTTGAAGAAACAGTGACCAAATTTTTCCCAAACTTGGTGAAAAATTATAAACTTTTATATCCAAGGCGCTCAATAAACCCCAAGCAAGATAAATACAAAGAAAAGCCTTCTAAGCACATCACAGCCCAGCTGCTGAAAGACAAAGTGGAGAGCTGCAGAGCAGCGTCGCCATGTGACACACAGGGACAAGGCAGCTACAGCAGGGCT